ACGCAAATAGTTGTAATTATTTATAATATAATATTATAATATCAGCGCGGCTCCGAAATCGGACAATCAAGACTGTTATCGGGAAGTCGGGAGCAGCGCATCTGATTCAGGAAATTCCCGACAAAATTGGGAAAGTTGGCAGGCCTGCTATTACTGCCACCAAGGAGGTAAACAGTGTCACCTTCAACTTCATAGTATGATAGTTCTGTTATTGCTGAAAAAAAAAGCCACCCTTGCAAATTCTCTGTCGATCGCATCAAACTTGGAGGAATGTAACGTAACTGAAGCATCCTGGGATCAAATACTATATATCGTCATCGTCTCTGCCTCCTCCCTGAGGCTATGTCATTACACGAGAGAGCACAAGAACAGGAAGTAGCTACCGTCACAACTGATGTAGCTTTAGTCAATTATATTGGTTTCCTTTTTTTAAGCACGGCATAGTATACCAGGTCAAATGCAATAAAAACTTGCTGTACAAGAAAGAGAGCTACTGCGATTTATTCACCTTATCTTGGAACAAACAAAATCACCAAATATTTACTGCTTTCTTTTCCTTTTCAAAGAGATATTTTTCATAATTTTTTTTATGGCTGCACGCTGTACACAACTAACCTCTACATTATAATCTCACATCTTGAATACAACATTTTACTACAGTATCATTATAATTTTTCTGTATATAATACACAACATTTCACTACCATTATAATCTTTCATTACATTTCACTAAAAGTGTTTCATTTGAAATAAAATAAAACATTTCACTACATTGGAACCTTACATCTTCAGTACACTTTGCAGTCACACAACCAGCAGTACAAAATACCCCATCTGGTCACCCAGCCAGGAGAGCGACTGCAACAGACTTCTCGGGCCTGGCGCAGAATTGCCAGGTGACTGGAACGGATAATTTTCACCGGCACAATATCGGCGCATTATTGCGCCAAGTGAACGCAAAGTGTTTTATTAAACACTGAATCCTAATAATAGAGGGCTCCTACTCCAGGAACTTTTTCACTTTAACACCTGCACTGAATATACCGACTAAACACGCTGTAAAGCATTCGATAGACTCTCAAACAGAATTGGCTGTTTGCTTATTTGGGATGAGATGATGGCCAGACATTCTCCACCATCCCCTCAAACAAACCATTGAGAAAAGCACAACAGTAACAATTAAGTGTTCAACATGAAGAGAATCCCAAAGATTTTATAGTTTGTTTTAGTTTTTAAAGCATTTTACGGCACTTGTAACACAATAACGTCATATAAATGCCAAAGATTAGAGGTGTTAAAAGACAGTAAAGTAACAAGTTTTACACAAGAAAGGAGGGGAGATAGATACAATAGGTATTTTATAGGAAAGAAGGAGCAAACCACACTAGAGCACCCGCCAACCACCCACAGATTTTATAGTTTTGAGATATCTGGCCTAGACAGGCTACATGATGTCTGCCAACAATCTCTTCTTGTCTTAAAATAAAAATATAAACATAATGAGAGAAAACTCTGAGAAAAGATAAATTATAAATAATAAAAGCAACTTGCATTATATTTTCATCCCCGTTATTCCAACACAAAATATTCCTTTGCTAAAATGAAACATAGGAATAGCCTAGCTAAGCAAAAGTAAAATATATGTCATCCTTTCCTCTTTCATGAAATAATGAATTGAATACCTTTTGTGATTTTGGTTTATCAGTCTTCAAATAATAATACCTTATATAATACAGTCTCATTTTTGCAATAATTTATAGAGTCCTAAACAACGACCCGCCCCTCATTTACAACACCAACAAAAAGTACAAAGATATGGAGAGAGTCTCAAAATAATATTTTTAAGAACAGATTTTCTTTTTCATAATCGCAAATAAAAAGGGAATTTATTATTTACAAAAGGATTCTGCTTTCATTCAATGAACCCCCTTTCACAGGTGTGTCTTTTTAAATTTCTCAAAAGCACAGAGCTCAACATTTTTTAAAAATGTGAATCCTCAAAATACAAAATAGCAGCACAAGATCAGACTTTCCAAGGCATAAACTCAAGGAAAAATCAAAAGTTAAATTTTTTAAAAATTGTAAGGCATAAAAAAATGAAGCAACAAATGTTTGACTAAACAAATATTATCTTTTATACCAACTGTTGAGGAACTAAACAACAAAATAGTTAAAGTTGACATTATAACCTAATTCATTAAAATATCTAAAAATATATGTGATTGTCTCAGAATGCCTAATTTAGATTTTTTTAAAGCAACACCCCCC